AATGATGGATATCTTCCCTATTCTTTTTCTCATCTTTTTTTCTACATTGTATCATTGAGTGAACTGCAGCAAGAGCTCAAGGTGTATCTTGAAAGGTAATGTTCTCTCCTTGGATTCACAGCAACACTGGAATCCAAACCCAACGATGGTGACTTGAAGGAAAGAGGGAAAAAAAGCTGCTTTTAATCCCAACAGTGTCATATCAGTGTCACCAGAGTTGGTAAAGATTAGTGCTGTTTGACATCTGGAAAAAGAGACTTTGCAGTACTGATGCTGTACACCCTAATATAACAGTTATCATGTTTTTAACTCTTCACCGTTTTAATCTCACACTAGGAGTGGTTGTTCATTACAAATAAATCTAAATCTTCTAAACCTCTTGGCAGTGAAGAGTTTGGTAAATATTTATCTGTCGATATGAAATATTCATCAAACATTTGTTTGATAACTTTATAGTTTTTATTAAATATTACCTCATGCAGTTCTCCTTTCGCCAATGCTTTATGTTTTATGTACGCTGGAAAAAAATCGAAATCTAGATAAGTAATTTTTTTCTTTAAATAAATGCATTTTTTTCTTGAATTGAGGGGGTAAAAGGGACATTTTGCCAATAGAACAAGACAATTTACATTTAAAATAAGAAAACACAATTGCATTGTTTTATTTCAAGTGCATATTATCTAATTATATCAATTTTAAGAGTAACAATACTCATTCCCTTGGCAAACTACATCATGTACCTACTCAAATTAAGGGTTAATACAGTTCATTTAAGACATTTTTACTTATTTCTAGATGGTTTTTCCAGTGTATTGGAGCTGCCTTTACATTATATCTCCAGGACTGTGTTTAAGCGTATTTTAGTTGTGCAAGACTGATTGGTCTGTATCGATCATCTACTACAATTTACTTCCCAGCATTTCCCAGAAAAAGATTAAATATCAACAGAGGAGAAGCTTTGTGGACAAATACTTGATGTCAGAGAATAGGTAGACACATTTAAGATGCAGAAATGGAACGGGGGCAAAAATAGCCACCTATTAGAACCAAGCTATGCAGAGAACCAAGTCGAGCTTTGAAGCAGATAGGCCATAGATATAGAAAAACCACCTGAGGTACCACTACTGTAGCCTCGTGAGACCATCCTGATCTCGCGAGCTTTCAAGATTTCACTCGCTAATCACTCTGGAGACTCTCCGTTGAAGAAAATTTGGAGCCGTTCACCAAACGAACGTCCAATCAGCGTTGGCTTTGAGGCGGGTTGAGGTGTGACGCAACGAGAAGCACGACAGTTCAGTCTAAAGAACATGGCGGCTTCAGCCGATGAAACTAGCGTTAGCGTGGCTATTGAGTAAGTTTTATCGGAATTACAGAGTATTTCTTCACTGAAAGAAGAGCAAAACACTGCTCTGGAGGCTTTTCTCAGAGGAAAAGATGTTTTTGCTCTTCTCCCGACTGGTTTCGGCAAGAGTAGCCTGGCTTGTGGTTGTGTTGTCGTCGTCGCTCTGTTAGTACGTCATATGCTTCGTTGATCTGATTGGTTTATTTGGCCCGTCTATCACCAACATAGGCCAATCAGCTAACCAGTATTTTCGCCCCTTCCCAAAATTACTTCTACGGAAGATTTCCAGATGGATATGCGGATCAAATCCATCTGGCGGAGTCAGGTTACCACTACGGTTAGCTAAGAGAAGGAAACTGAGGATTCCATTCACATGATTCCCAGATCTACAATAACAAATTGGCTCAGTCAGCTGGTTTTATCCTTAATTCTGGGTGGACACGATACTAGCATGTTGAACTGATCTTATTTCTAATTTTTCTCTACTTCCACCGAAGTCTGAAAACCATACATTCGCAAAGCACTGAACTTTGCATTTATATTTGAGATCACTGCCTCATGTGCATGTGCAAAACATTTGCATTGTTTCATGAGTATTGTTGCCTGTGTTATTGGTAAACTAAGATTAGAGTTCGGTAGGGTTGTGGAAAAAGTTTGATTTTGCGATATATCGTGATTTGTAGATGCTCAATATAATATCAATCTTTCAGTTCCTAATATAGATTTAAAACAAAAAAACATTTTATCTAAAACAATGAGGCAAAATGAGTTAGCTCTGCACCACCAGTCTGGTAGATAGATGTGGACCCCTGTTGCTGTGTGCCATATTTAGTAGCTGGCTAGCTCAAGTGGTAAGACCTGCAAACAGGAAGCCAGCGTTGCTTTTTTATCTATACATTTCATTTGAAAGCTGGGTTGAATATCACAATATATAAAGACACTACAATCTTGGGATAATATAATATCGTGACATGTATCTTATCACAACACTAGGGGTGGAACGGTTCACAAAATCCACGGTTCGGTTCACGGTTTCGTGGTCACGGTTTTCGGTTCGGTTCGGTATATGTTGATTATTAGCCTGACATGTTGGTCATGTTGTTGTTAGCATAAACAAAACGTGTTGCACAATGCTTGCGCACTGTTTTTATCCACAACTTTCTTTCCGCCGTCATCGTAGGTCACTCTAAATGCAAAGTGGTCCCATACAGCAGACCTATAAAGTGCTGCTGGCGCGTCTTCCAACTCCTGTTCTTTCCCACTCGCCATACCCACACAATTGGTCGCAGTACCGCCACCTTCTGCTCTGGGGTGTAAACGCTTCACCTATGAGAAGAAGGAGCAGCGCATGAACCGAACGCAACACACGCGAACTGAGACAGTCGAACCGAATGGTTCGGACGGTTTTTCATAAACCGTTCCATCCCTACACAACACACATACCAATTCTTAACCATAGAACTCTGAATTCTCATGTTATTCTGAGCCAAAAACAAATCAAGATCAGAAAATATCGGCCTGTATCTAAAATCTGTGATATTAGCAAGCTGATAGAACCTCCCTGCTTCTCCAGAAAATTTAGGTTTTTAATTGAATGGGCCAGTTTTTTTTCTTTCCTGTTGATGTTGACTCTATGACTTGATAAAACCTTTCTATCACTCTAAAAAACAAAAGAGACCAAACTAAACTATGTACGAGTCGCGCTGATATGGTATCTGGCCAATATAGTAACAGGTCAATATTCAAAAGTGCAACATCAGTAGTTTATTGGAACTGACCAAGTTGTATCAGGGAATACAAAGCAAACTTTGGACTCTAGTCCACACAGAACCTCACATAAATAACTCAATCTAACTGACTTTTACTGACCATGTCCACATCTTAATGACCACAGTTTACCAATCTTCTGAGGACAACTACCCGCAGCATAATGCACCACATCACAAAGCTCAGCTCATCCTAAACCGGTTTCTTAAGCACTACAAGGAGTTCATAGTACTACAAAGTCATCACATCAAAATCCAATACAGAGCTTTAAGAATGTCATGGAAAAGAAGGTGTGCATCATGTATGTGCAGCTGAAGAATCCGCACCATGTGAATGATGCTTTATTGTCAAAATGAGCCAATATCTCTGTTTCATTTACACCCGAATTCTTATTAACTTAAACCACATCTAATCAATACTGGCTTTGTGTACAAACTATATTATCTCATCCAATTTTCCATTAATAAATAAAAATGGCAATAAAAAAATAGAATGAGCATGCCAAGTTGTTATGCTTATTCTAATCTTGCCTTGCAACTAATGGTCCTGGGTTCAAATTGAGGCCTGGTGTCAGTTTGTACATTTCCTGGATGGGGCCGCCTTTTATAGTTGCCTTTTGTATGTCTGCTTCTGTCTCCTTGAACCCCAGTGGGCCTCAGCAGATGGCCACTCACACTGAGCCTGGTTCTGCTGGAGGTTTCTTCCAATTAAAAGGGAGATTTTCCTCTCCACTGTCGCTACAAGCATGTTTAGTGTGAGGGATTGCTGAAGAGTCAATGAGTCGATGCAATCAACTAGTTGTCCTTACATAGAAAACTTTGAATCAATTTGACTGGATGATCTGGTGAACTGTAATGTGCTTTGAGATGACATGTGTTGTGAATTGGCACTATAGAAATAAATTGTATGGAATTAGCATTATTCCCATAAATGTGTGGATTCTTTCAGGGTACTCTGGTTTCATATAGAAGTCTAAAACCATGACTGCCTGGCTAATCTGGTATAATTGTGTGGATGGTTGTCTATTCTGCATCTCTGATGGAATGACAACATGTACAGGGTTTGCCTTGCTTCTTTCCCACTGACCACTGGAGATTTCAAAGCTACATCATCTATCAGGAAAGCAGGTGGATGGAGCACAGCAACAATGTCTATATTCACAGTTCTATTCTATTTGAAAGCTTTACCCTCATCCGTATATTAAAACTGTGCGTTTTTCCTTGTGCAAGCAAAACAAACAAACAAATAAGGGAAAATAAAGTTGTAATTTGTGGCTGCTGCCAGTAAAGAATAACAGTTAAATATAGCCTAGAAACTAACACCTTGCAGGGATGTGACAGCTGCTTTAGAGGAAATGTTGGCAGCAGACTCTTCTCGCTCTGTATCCCCAATGTCTCCACTGAAATGGTACTGGGATCTTTTTGGAAGGATTCTGGTCTTAGTATTTGTAATTCTACAGAAAAAAAGAATACAAAAAGAGCTAATAAAAAGAACAACGTATCATTTGGCTGCTGAATAGCTAATTATTGGGAAAAAACAGTAAACGCACATTTTTGAGCGCTAAACGCTGCGTATCTGGAAATATAAGATGGATTAATTAAATACCTATAGGTCTAATAAGTAATTAATATTAAACAGAACAATGAAATTAATTAATTAATTAATTAATGAAGTTTGATGTAGATGAAGTTCCTTTTAATTAAGTTTAGGAAAACGTGTTTATTTTATTTTCAGTTTTTCTGGTCTGTTTGGTCTGTTTGTGGCAAAACTATCACAGGTGCAAAAAGTCCATGAAAAATACATCCAAGCTCCAAGCGGTGGAAAAGCTTCCACATAAACATCCAGCAGAACAGGCGGACCACAGAGCGGCCTGACAGGGAGCGCTTCTTACCTTGAGCCGCTGTGGAGTGGATCAGAAAGGGGAGAAATAAAATCCATGTGGCGCGCCACATCGATCCGCGCCAGCGCCTCTCCAACATTGTTCCAGGGACCCCGTAACGGACAACAAGCCCAAAGCGGACTGAGGTGTGATCCCGTGGCGCGGCTCTCCTGCTGCAGCCCCGTGGGTCTCTCTCCGTCTGTCCGTCAGAGCGCACCGAGCAGAGCGCGCGCGGAGCGAGAAGCTGCAGCTGGGATTCACTCAGACGGTCTGTGTTTGTTTTACAGTTTAAGTTCGCCCCACTTCCACGAACTAGATACGATCGTCTGGATGAGGTTTCCCACTGAGCATCCTCTAAAGAGATCAACTTCAATCTCTCTCTCTGCACCTGTAATGAATGATGGATCCAACACTCCTCCTCCTCACATACTCCAGTTTCCTCCTTCCTTTTTCCGATTAACTCCAAACTTTAGCGGCTTACAGTAACTCCAAAGAACAGACTTCTCCCTCTGATTCTTCCTGTCTTCTTTGTGGGGAAGCTGCAGACGGAGCCACGGACCCACTCCTGTAAAGTTCCTCTCCACTGCGCGCTGTCAAGGTCGCCAAATCCGTCAGACAGCAGCGCTGACGAGAAGTTCCGCTGCTCTGGGAGCGCAGAATGAGGGGGTCTGCTGCTGGTGGAGCTGGCTGGAGAAAAGTGGGGGCCTCTTCCGCGCCGTCACAGAACTGAGGTCTGCGCCCGGCTGCCGGTTCGTCTGTGCCTGTGTGTGTCGGATAGTGAGGAGGACGAGTCCTGGGTTCTGCAAGCTGTAACAGTTGGATTCAACAGTGACAGCGCAGTGCATGATGCCACCAAGCGGCCATGCGCAAAAGCACACCCCACTGGACAACTCAACGTTTGCAGGACATGTTAAGGCTCTACATCACAGAAAAGATCAGATAAAACTGAAGAGAAATGATGCTCTGCCTGTTTTCCCTATTAGAATATAACTGGTGCATCGCATTAACCCATCAGAAAAATAAAACTTGTTCTAAAAAGTAAATCATGTGACTAAAAAGTCAGTGATGTCAGTGGCTGTTCAGCCAGATGGGATCCAGAGCATCTGTAAACATCAGTCAGGCTGTGTCACATATTTGTCACATAAATGTAGGTCTAAACTCTGACTAGGTCGTTTAAATACGTTACATCTTTGATCTAAGGGACAAATCAAAAACATGAAGAAGGCTGAACCTTGAAGACTGGACTCAGCCGCCACATAAGCCCAACAATATTCACATCAGGCTGTAAATTTAATGTCAGAAAGAAGCTCTTTATTTCTTTTTTTTTTTCCTTTTGCAGTTTTTTCTTTTAGGAAAGTTTACAATCCAGAGCCAGCAAGCTAATTGATATATTCGGCATAAGAAATTATTATTAATTTGAGATTCTTGCTTTATGAAATGAAGGATTTTGCAGTAGTGACACTGTTCCCACAGTAGCAGTTTGCTTATTGCTTGTTTTTTCCTGGCCGGCCTAAAAAAATCCAGGGCAGCTCAGGACCATGAACTAGTTCAGTCAAAATTATTTGCAAAAAGATGAAGATATTTTCTACAAAATATTTAAAGCAGCAATGTTTTTTGCAATTTTATTAAAGGAATAGTACACCCAAAACATGATTAGCCTTCATTTTCTACTCACCCCCATGCTGAACAACACTCTGGAGTACTTTTTTGATATCTCAAATGCATCTGGAGATCTGGGAGGCTTCTTACTGTCTGCTGACATTCAAATAATGGAGGTCTATGGCGCCCGAGGCAGAAAGGTCCATAAAAGTCCACAAAAAACGTGTCAATATTCCTCCATACTGCTCGTCCAATGTATTCCAAGTGTTCTGAGTGGGTAGCATCCAGAATTTACTCAAAACGAAGTCATTTAGAATGTTTTTAGAGCATAAACAGTAGTGTATAGGATTTCCTAATAGCGCATTTACGAGTCTACGGAATCCGTGGCAGACCAAACCAGATGAAAGTGCTCTGCCGATAATGCAAGCGTAGAAGAAGAAATGTGCTGTTTACCTGTGCAAAGAAAGAAACAACGAAAGAAAAATGTCTGAGGACTTCAGTGTTGAGGAAGAGCATGAGTTCTTTGCCGAGCTGAATGCGCACTTTCATCTGGTTTGGTCTGCCGCGGTTTCCGTAGACTCGTGAACGCGCTTTTAGGAAATCCTATACACTACTGTTTATGCTCTAAAAACATTCTAAATGACTTCGTTTTTAGTAAATTATGGACGCTACCCACTCAGGACACTTGGAATACATTGGACGAGCAGTATGGAGGAATATTGACACGTTTTTTGTGGACTTTTATGGACCTTTCTGCCTCGGGCGCCATAGACCTCCATTATTTGAATGTCAGCAGACAGCAAGAAGCCTCCCAGATCTCCAGATGCATTTGAGATATCAAAAAAGTACTCCAGAGTGTTGTTCAGCATGGGGGTGAGTAGAAAATGAAGGCTAATCATGTTTTGGGTGTACTATTCCTTTAAAATCTTTCTTATTACAGGGGTGGAGCTAGGGGTGACCAAAATGGTTGAGTGTGCCCATTTTAAATTTTTTCCTCCCTGGGATAATAATTCCTATATATTTAGAAAATAAAAGACAGAAAAAAACAGCATAAACTCATATTCTGTTCACACTAAACAAGTCCACATGAATTTAAAATGAAAATGAGAAAAGCCCTTACACTTTCTGGGTAACATGAAAATATAAAGGATAAGCAACACTTTCCAGATCGTGCTCTGTCTCTCTTTGTCCTGTTCACATAGAAAACAATACAGTTGGAAATTACTAGGTTACCGCAATAATTAAATGTATTATTCCACTGCAACGTGTCCCAATGAATACCTGTAAGAACTACAGTATCTCTGGATTTTACAGCATTTAATTCTTATTTTACATTAAAAGTAAAACTGTAATATCACATCTAGGTCTGTAATATCCAAGCAACACAGTAAAAACTGCAAGGTTTCTACAGCATTCAACAATTTTATTACAGTATTTAACTTTAAATACAGTGTGAACAGGAAAGTCACGTGACTTAACAGACCATGGTACTATTTGAATGGAATGTGCCATTGCACCTTATAGTCTTTTGACCAGAGCCTTTGAAATAGTAGCTGATTAGTCCGTCACTTCAATTGGATGGGAATAAGTTGATCTCAGATATAAAGTAAAAAATCTTGGTGTTATTTTTGATCAGGACCTGTCATTTGAATCTCATATCAAAGAGGTTTCTAGCATTTCTTTCTTTCATCATTTCACGATGAAACATTTTACAGTCTACTGTCCAAAAATAATTTGCTGGTAAAGTCGAGTTTTATCTTTGAGTTTTCATTGGTTTTAGTTCCATTTTGTGGTTTGAGTTATATTTGATTTTATGTGAGTTATTTGGTATGCTTTGTCTGTCCTCTTGTGCCAGCCTCCTTTCCATGTAGCTCCCTTCTAGACTCCTCTGTCCACACCTGCTCCCAATCTGCTGATTATCCTGATCTTGGGCTACGTTCACACTGCAGGCTGAAGTGACCCAAATCCGATTTTTTGGCCCATATGCGACCTGGATCTGATCTTTTCATGGCTGTCTGAACAACATAGATCCAATTTTTTTCAAAGCGACCCAGGCCACTTAGCTATGTGGTCCTGAATCTGATACGAATCTGATCTTTTCAAATGCGACCTGTGTCTGAATGGCCAGGTCAGATTCTTCCGACCTGAACATCACAACTTGACAAAGGTCACTATTATGTGTCTTGCTACGCCGAAGCAGCAAGAAAATCAACAACCATGATGATGCGGAGAGCAGTATTTATGTTTGAGCATATTGAAAATATTGTGTTTTTATGGTTGAAAAAGACAGCTAGATGTGTGCCGGCATTACTATCCATATTCACTTCCGGAAAAAAAGAGCACGCTAGCCTGTGACGTCATCGCGCCCTCTCCTGCGCATGCGGAACACTTGTGTCCTATAACTGCAGTTCACACATCACATACAAGCAGTGTTGGGCACGTTACTTTGAAAAAGTAATTAGTTATAGTTACTAGTTACTTCTCCCAAAAAGTAACTGAGTTAGTAACTGAGTTACTCCACAATAAAAGTAACTAGTTAGTAGTAAAAGTAACTATTGCGTTACTTTTGCGAGTGTATGAAATGAATAACTGGGGATGTCTAATTCTGAAATCCTGTGTTTGGGTTGTTATAGATACTGCAACATGTAGCTCTATCTATCTATCTATCTATCTATCTATCTATCCATCCATCCATCCATCCATCCATCCATCCATCCATCCATCCATCCATCCATCCATCCATCCATCCATCCATCCATCCATCCATCCATCCATCCATCCATCCATCCCTCTTTCTCCATATAGGCTAATGATCGTTCACGCTCTCCGTAGTTCCCCTGTGGCGCGAGCACAGGGCGGCTGTTACGCGCCTTTAGCGAGCATGCGCGTTTCCTGTCGCTTGCGCGGTGAATCGTGCCGCCGCGCTGTGCGGAGATGCAGGGGAAACCGTATCTGATGGGAAAACGCAGCTCGACGTAACACCAGTATTTCCATCTGGAAAGCGCTGTTTTGCCGCTGGAGTCCTCCTCACTCTCCATCCTCCCCTCTCTCATGACTCGCGCACGAGTCCTATCATGGAAAAAGGTTAATTGTGCGACCTTAGTAACGTGCAGTAACGGGGTGTCGGCAATTGTAACTGCGTTATAGTTACAGTAAGAGTAATAGTTTTGATTACTCGTTACTAATACTCGTTACATTCAACGCCGTTACTCCCATCACTGCATACAAGTCACATATATTTGGAAAGATGAACGACAACGCAAAAAAAAACGGATTTCACAAAAAAATGGGAATTGAGCATCAAGGCCTGCAGTGTGAACGTAGCCTTAGTTTCTGTCTCCCACGCATACACCTTCTGCTCAGTCACTGTTTGCTGGATTGTCATCATTTCTTTGCTCTCTTGTTGTCAGTATTCCTGGTTTTCAGTATTTTTGGATTTTGTGCAATTATGTTTTTGGATTTTCGCTTCTGTTGCCTTTTTTGGATAAATACATCTGCAACAAACCACCTTCAGCTTCAGTCTCTGCATTTAGATCCTTCAAACCTCCACCCATCTTGACA